AGTTGAACATTGATGCCCACTGTCCTCCAAGTGTGTGGGTAGAGATGATTCAAGCCAACTGTTCCAGAGGGTTAGCCACTAAGAGTCCAGTGGTTCCTCAGAAGTTCAGGATCCATATCTAGGAATATTCCTACATGTGCATAAGACAACCTTTTGTCTCAAAATGTTAAGAGTTGGAAGACATTTGAGACATGGTTTATGTCCTTCAACCTCATTGCTTTTTGTGGTAACTGAGATCAGTTAAAATCCACATAGTAGGAAGAAGCAACTCTGGGGTGTAGGTCCTGACTCAGTGATGATCTGTATTTTAGGTCACTTTCTGTAGTAACCATATATTTTGAAACTAAATGTCTGGGCACATAGTAGACTGAGTCTTGTAAGTCAGCATCATCCTGAGAAATTTGAAGCATATTTAACAGTAAATCAACCTCTTCTACTGAGGCAAAAGGAGTTTGGTTGAAAATGAGAGAGAATAATTCCAATCAAGGTGGTGTTCCCAGAGTGTTCCTTGGAAAGGATGCCTGCCCAGGCCCCCACATGGGTACATCAGAGTCTCCCAGGCCCCCATGGTATCAAGAGCCTTGAATGTGCTTAGAATATGAGGAGGATTTCTCTTGTGGCTAACAGTGGCCTGTAGGTGTCCCAGTGCAATTGACTGTCCTTTTGCAAAAATATAATAATGATATCAAAATACAGAGCAGTTAATCTGAAAGGATGAGTTCCCTTAGATGCACCTGTTTATAGGCAAGACTACTTTTTTGTTCTCTTTTGGATACTCACAGACTTCTGGATTTAAGGTTATTTTTGGGTGGGGCCAATTATTACACTAACCATTTATCCCACAGATAATTTCTTCCACGGCATCCCTGAATGTGGCCATCTAGTTTCTTCTTAAGTGCTTTTTGTAAAGGTGGTCAACACATCCCAGAGCAGCTGTTTCACTGACATGAAAACATTTCTTACTAGAAAATTTTTTCTCTAAGAATGCCTCTAAAATTACCTTGAAATTTTAGAATATGAGGAGGATAACATAAAATAAAGTGTATTTTTTCTGGATGAAACAAAGCTTTTTGAGTAGCTAAAGGTGCTTCTTAATCCTAGCAGCATTAGCAAAGAACTACAGGTTTTTGCACATGATTTTCTGTTCCTTTCTTTTTGAACCTCTATCTTTCTCCAAACACATTCCTCAAAATTCAATTTTTGTCACCTCCTTTGAGAATCCTACATGACTTCCCAGAGGAAATCCATCTCACCATTTCAGCCTTAATTCTAGTGGTCACTCATATTGCTAAAGGAATGCTTATATTGTGTATTTCTTTAAATTCTATTTTGTTTCCAAAATCACCTCTGTTTCCTTAGGATAGCCTTTCTCTTTGCATGTGTGTTTTAATCTTGTGTGTGCTATTTTGCAGGTTTTGTTGAAATGTTTGGTAACTTGCAGCTGTCTATTCACATTTGAGAATTAAGTAGTAGAACAGCTGACAGGGGATGTGGATAAAGTCCAAGCCTTTTAAAATGAAAAGCTTCAGGTTAGAGGAGCAAATCTGAAACTGCCAGCTAACTGGTATACCCTAATGGGCTCTGCTGTGGGGGCTGACACTCAAAGTAGCTCATTTAGGTTTGCTAGGAGAGTGATCCTATTTCTTCAGACAAGAATCTTGCCTGGAAGCTCTTTTGCACTCTAGGCTGTGTGCTGAGTGGGGGCATCTGTGTTCCTATTCTCAGAGTTTGCTTTCCATCCTATTTCTTGTCACTGCCCTGAAGTCTATGAGTTTCCTGGGTTCTACTAGGCAGATCTTCTCTCTTCTAAGCTGCAGGACCCTTCACACAGTGCTAGTACCTTGTGGTGGAGTGTTTTGTGGGTGAAATTCCAGAAAAACAACTCTAGGAGAAGCCATTCACATGGAATGCAGTAGCTTCCCCTTATCCACGTTTTGCTTTCTTCAGCTCCAGTTATCCACAGTCAACCATGGTCTGAAAATATTCAATGGAAAACTCCAGAAATAAGCAATTCATGTTTTACATTATGCTCCATTCTGAGTAACATGATGAAATCTTTGCTCTCTTTGCCCAGGACATGAATCATCACTTCCTGCAGTGTAACCACACTATACATGCGAACTGCGTGGCTTGTAGACAGCTCACTTGGTAGCTGTCTCAGTTACCAGATGGTTTGACTGGTACCACAGTGTTTGTGTTCAAGTAGCCCTTGTTTTACTTAATAATGACTACAAAGCACAAGAGTGATTCCACCGGCAATTCAGATATGCCCAAGAGTTAAGCCCCAATGTGTTTCTTTTAATTGAAAAGGTGGAAGTTCTTGACTTAATAAAGAAAAGAAATTGTATATTGAGGTTACTAAGATCTAAGTAAAAATGAATTTTCTGTCTATGAAAATGTGAAGGAAAAAAGAATTCATGCCTATTTTGCTGTTGCATCTCAAAATTATGGCCACAGCGATAACTGCTTAGCTAAGATAGATAAATCAATAATTACAGCATTTGGTACTATTTACAGTTTCACATATAACGGGGGTCTTGAGATGTATCCCTAATAGGTGAGAGGAGATTACTGTCCAACATGTAGATGGTGGCCCCTGTTTCCAAGGGTAATCTAAAATCAGGACTACTTTGATCTGCTTCATCCACCAGTACACATCATTGGCTTTTTCTTGTCCAGAAATGTGACATTTTGGCCTTTGATACAGACTTTCATTCCTTTTATCACTATTGGATTCTCCCTTTTAAAATTCCATTAGCTGCCTTTTAATAGTATCTCAGGAGGAAGAGGAGATTAAAGTGTGGGCTGTGTCTGTCAAGTTGAACCCAGAGCACAGAGCTCACACTGTCATTGGGGATATTATTCTGCCTTGTTTTGTCTGGCATAGGTACAGATGATTCAGATATCAATTTAAAAACAGTGGTGATAGAGGGCTCAGTTAAGACAGTTTTGTTATCTCCAGAGATCAGCTTAACTGGAAATCAGAAATATCTCCACTTATTTTATATTAAGTAAACAGAAACTTGGGTGCAAGTTATATAAAGGTATGACATTTTAAACTATATTTATTTTTAAATATCCTACGTAGTTGCTGTCATGAAAACATTAGGAAGAAGAGTTTTGAAATAACAGATTTCCACTAAGCAATTTAACAACTTAATGAGAAATCTACTAAAGACTCATTAGTCTATGTAAAATGAAAAATAACTTTCCCTCTATGTTCAGTAACAATAATTATATGCCCCATTAGCTCTTGATCTGATAGCCAGTTGGGAACATGCAGCATGAACTTTAGTGTTCTGTGTTTTACTGAGGATCACTGAGATTTTTTTTCTTCTAAATATTCCAGCAATGGGAAATTATTTAAAACCCAAATGTTTTATTTTATATTCAGAAATGCTTTACATAACTAAATGCATACATAAGCGTTTTAGAACAAGTGTTAAATCTGAGTCTTCAAACTAATTTAAGTGCTAAATATTTTTGCTTGTTTTTTCACAACTCTTAACTAAGTATGTATTCAACTAGTACTTATTGAGATTCTAACATGTACCTGCTACTTTTATAAAAAGTTGGTAAGTTCTGTACTATTCTCCCCTTTGGCTAGTTCATCTTATGAAGAGTTAAAATTAGTAATTATGTCTGTAGCAGAGTTCATTTAACTCAAGAGAAAAAGAGTGGAAAATAAAAAAATGCTCATTAGCAAACTCTTAATAAGCTTTTATTAATAAGAAAAAAGAAAGAAAAGATTTGAAAATGGCTTTAGAAGGAAATGTCATTACTTAACATTTCTAGAGGAAGTTGTTAAGTTAATGATCAAAATGTGGAATGGTAGCCACCCTAAGCCTGGCCAAGAAGGCTGTTCATAAGGAACAAGACAGGTAAAGAAGAGATAACTGGTGAGATTTGTCTCTACACCTTCCCCTCTATTACAAGGAACATTCCAACAACAAAGAATGCATGTGAATCTCCAAAACAATAGCTTATTGATTCTATGTAATGATTTATTAGAAGTGTAAATTATAGCTCTTCATCATTTTTTATGCTAGGAAATTCTTTACTATTTGTAACTGTGTCTGATTAGGGTTTAAGAAGACTTTTCATGAGCTGGGGATGTGGCTCAATGGTATCAGTAGTAGAGTGCTTGCCTAGAGTGTACAAGACCCAGCACTGCCAAAAAAAAAAAAAAAAAGTCTTCATATAATTACAGAGGACAGAACCATATAGTAGAATCAGACTTGATTTTGTACTATTTTTTATGTAAGTAGTATAAAAATAATTTAATCTCTTTGAGAATCATGGTTTAGGAAATAAAAAAGATATATATCTCAGAGAATGATTTTGAAATGAAACCAGATAAGATGTATTGATAGACAGAAGATGGATGGATTGATTGATTGATATAAAGATAGAAAGATTAGATATATATATCTAATTTATTGAGTGCTTATTACATGCCATGCACAAGCGCATGGCATGTAATAAGCACTCAATAAATTCTACTTTCTTTTCTCTTCCCTTGCAGAAATGTCCACAAACTTGGGTTGTTGGGCAAATATCCATGAATGCATCAGTTCTCAGCTCTAGAGTTACATATAGGGCTGGGTGTGTAGCTCAAAAAAAATCTTAGAAGTTATATTTTCTCTGAAACCACACTGACTTGCTCTCCTAGCTGCTTTTGATGCCTCTTCTCTGTCAGGTACCCCTCCGGGATCCTTCATTAATCTCTTATACATATATCCTGTACTATTTAATGCTTATACTGTATTGAAAATATGAGTTTGTATTTCTGTTATTCACACTAGACAATGAGCCTCCTGAAGGCTAAGATAAGATTTTATTTGATTTGTTAAATCTAGTACCTAACAGTTCTTGGCACATAATATGAGCTACATAAATGCTGATGACATGGGAGAGGAGAGGGATGAAAGAGGAAGGGACACTTTCTTTAGGTTCAAAGGTTGCACATTTTAAGAGAATACTCTGAATTATTATCTTACCCTTCTAGGGAGATGGCCCGTTGGAGAGTCACTGAAGGCTGACGGGTCGCAGTGCTGTGTTGGGAATGACTGCAAGAAAAGAGAAAAAAAAGAACATGGCTCATTCATTTAAAATGTCTGCAAATTTTAACAGTCTTATTGTCAAGAAAAGAGCCAATATTTAAATATAGAGAGTAAAGATGAAATCTTTGGTGATAAGTAGAATAACTCACAAAAATATAGCAGTTTATCAGATAAAGGGGTCAATATATCCTCATAATTTAAGTTCAACATGCATTATTCTAAAGTAACCTTTAAATGATAAGTAGACATAAAAAGAAACAAACATACTTAGGTAAGGTAATTTTTCCCCTTGGAATAAAACAGAGCACAAAACATAAGTTTAATTATTATTCAACATATTTTTTGAGCTAATAAATATTTTCACTAATAAAATTTTATTCAAAGCCCAATCTATAAAACACGAGTAGTATTTCATTGGTATATATTTATTTATTAGCAACATTTGTAAAATTAATTAATAACAAACTGATGAATTTAATAAGCTTGAAAAATAAGAATTTCAGTTGCATATTAATCTTAAAATTTAATGTAATTCTTAATTTTGTTTTGGTTGCATGTAACTAGAGAAAAAAAATTTTGTAGATAAGCAGTTGAAATAAAAATAGTAATATCTAATATTTACTGGCAATTATTTTCACTTTGTCACTTCCTAAAATGCATAATATGTTTACACCTTTTAGTTCTAATATCTCCACAAGGTAGTTTCAATTTAATTAATGAGGAAATTAAACTATAAAGAGGTTTAGAAGCTAAGTCAAAGTCACATGGTAAATAAATGTGCTTGAAATGCCATCTCTCTTTTCTGTCATTATTCTTAACCATCATGCTATCATAATTTTTCATATTTGTAAGAATTTTCCTTGCAATCTCAGAAATTCTTCAATTAGAATGAGATGGAGGTGGATCTTTCATCTGAAAAAGGCACAATAATAATCCAATAGCAAAACAATTTGAATGAATTTTTAATTTTAGTTTGCAGTTTGTTGATTTATTATTTTAGTTGAAATATTAGCTGCACATATATGTGGGATATGAATGTGTGTATATATACACATATGTATAAAGAAAAATCTGAGTCAAATATTTATGGAGCATTAGACAACTTTGCAAAGCTCTAGGATTTCTCAGCACACACCTTGAAAACACTGACATTGCCACACAGAGCCAAGTTATAGACTGCAGAGATTTTCATTCAGAATGTTGGTTATTTTGGGTGAGAAGGGATATCTCTCTCTGAGCAGCATTTTGTCATAACATGGATGACATTTACCGAGGCTAGGGGAGAAGAATTTTCATACCAGAGCTAAATCCTAAAGAATGACTTCAAATCAAGGATTACCTTTTGTGTTCCTCACAGAGCCAAGTACCACAGATATTCAATGAATGTGCTTTGAATAGCCAGTGGAAAAGCAGGATTGCATTCAGGACTCACATCATGGGCCCAGAACGGCAGAGTTCAGAGCCTGACTCATCCACATCTCCCAGTGTGACCTGCTTAATATTAAACCTCTATGTGTGTCAGTTCCTCATTTTTACCACCTATAAAAATAGTAATAGTGCTTTCCTGGTAGGGTTGCTATAAGGATTCAGAATACAGTGTTCACAACAATGTCTATCGCACACTAAGAGCTATATTTTACATAGATAAACTACAGCAATTTGGGAGAAGGAATACTTTGAGATATTTAGTAATAAAAAAGAGTATCTATTTAGATTCTTTTGTTAGACATATAGTCAATACGCAAGCTGTATATTTTTGCACAGCATACAACTTTGGTGATAAATATGAAATTAAAAGCATTTTCTATTATGAAACATTATAAAATCAATGAGAATCAAAGTAGAAGATATATAGAATGATTAAGTTTTGCTTAATGTATAGTATGAGGACTATAGTTAATAAAATTGTATTATATTTGGGATTTATGCTAAATAAGTAGATTTTAGCTGATTTTGCCTCAAAAACAAAACAACTAAAAAGGGTAACTGTGTGTGATGATTCATGTTTTAATTTGCCTCTGGATAGTAATCCTTATACTGTTATGTGCTTATCATATGGTGTTGCATATCTTAAATGTACACAATAAGTTTACTTAAAAATTAATGGCAAGAAAAGTAGGAGAAAGTAAAAATATTCATCCATCCATTCTTCCATTACTGTCTCTCAAACTTTAAGGAGTTATCTAATTTAATTCTCATGGTCGTTCTATAAGGTAGATATGAGTATGTCTGTTTTATATTTAAAAAACCAAAACACTTTGAATTTACACAGCTTGTCAGAAATGAACAGCTTATAAATGTGGAACAAAATCAAAATTAGAGCCTATCTTTTGCCAAGTGTACGTCCTTTCTACATATCTTCCTGACTCTATATGTCTAAGTGTATTTCACTTAGTTCAATATATATATGAATATATGCAACTTCATGTCCTATGCTTTTCCTAACATTATAATTTAAGCATTTCTGATAAGAACTCTACAATTATTATTCTGGTGTTATATAGTATTACTTCCTATGAAGATATAATTTATTTAGTTATCCTTTATAGCTGAATATTTAAGTTACTTTTATTATTTTAATAATATAAACAGTATTATAATTATCATGTTGTTATCAATTACTTTTTTCATGTTCTACAACTTCTTTTTGAGGTATTTCCCCAAATGCATCAAACATTATACTCTTGATTTATGTCATTATTTTTAAAAGCTTTGTATAATGTTATTGCCCCTAAAAGGTGTATGTATATATGTATATATATACATATATACATACACCTTTTAGGGGCAATAACATTGCCAGTTATATATCATTACCAGTTTTACTTAGTTTTACAAATATTGGCATCATATGTTTTTAATTCCCTGAAAATTTAATAGGTACAAAATGACATCCAGATTTGCAATGAACATTTCTTTTTTAGTGAGAACATTTTTTCCCTATGTGATTATTTGCTAATTGTATTTCTTTTGTACAATGAGTCTAATCCTTTCCTCTACCATTTATCTTCCACTAGTTTCTTCAGAAAGTAATGATAGTTCTTGGGTGAAGACTGATGATTCTTACTAAGGGTGATTCATGAGTAACTGGAATCCCTGATAATGTCCTCGTTATTAGCCCAGCCTACATAATTAAAGCAAAGAAATATTCAGTATTCTCTATTGACTTATCAACACCTTATGACTAATTATTAGTCTATCCTAAATTATGCCAATTAATGTCCCTTTTAAAGTTTTAGTGACACTTAAATGCAAATAATACCATGAAGTGCTCAGAGAATTTGACTCCTTTTATGTTACACAGGAAAAGTCAGCCAGTTTCTCTTAAATTTGAAACAGATTCTTTCACAACATATAATTACCCTTTTATTCTATGAAAACAAATACAGTGGATTATTTGATAGTCAAGACCTAGAGACAGAAGTGGATTTCTATAACTTCCAGATAGCAATGTCTAAACTACACCTGCAGGGGACATACTTAAAATAGTATGGGAGCTGCCAGACAGTGACAGAAAGTGGTATTTTAAGAAACACTAAGCATCTCTTCTTGGGATGAAACAGATTCCATTCTTTCCATATTGTTGTTTACATGGACACTGTGTTATAGAGCTACTGTGATTAACAATGATAGGCAGCCAGTGCCTGTCTCCTCCACCTCCTCAGGCAGAGCCCAGCCACATGAATTCTGAGAACTGCAAGAGAAAAAGCCAGTGCAAGAAACTACAGCCAATACTTATAACTTTCAACACTGGAGCGCTAAGGGCTTGGAATGTTCTTCATCTTAAAACCCTTACTCTCAGTCTACCCTCCTCTTCTGAGTTACCATGTTCCTAGAGACGTCCAGCACCTCTTCTGTGAAGTAGCTGTGACAGTTTCCTGCCTTCCAGCACAGCTAACCCAGTGTCCATGCTGCCACTCCATCAGTTCCACACATCACAGCAGCACCAGGACTGAGACCACCACAACTTATTCATGTACCCGTTTTTCCTACTAAATTAAATATACCTTGTGAGCAAAGTTTTGGACTTACCTGTACAGTCTCAATCCAGGCTTGACACAGAAGATACTCTTTCACTTTTTTTTTTTTTTTTGTACTGGGGATTGAACTCAGGTGCACTCAACCACTGAGCCACATCCTCAGCCCTATTTTGTATTTTATTTAGAGACAGGGTCTCAGTGAGTTGCTTAGCACCTCACTTTTGCTGAGGCTGGTTTTGAACTGATATCCTCCTGTCTCAGCCTCCCAAGCCGTTGGGATTACAGGCATGTACCACTATGCCCAGTTTTTCACTGTCTTTCTGAATTCTGCCCCATGACATATCTCTTTCAAACTTTGTAACAACATGGACAACTAGGAAGTACATCCATTTTTGACAGAAATTAAATTAAGTCCCATATCTCTCAGCTAGTAGGTGGCACGAGTAGACCTTAGGTTGGCTGGCTCCAGAGTGCTTGGTGCTCTGAGACAAACCATGTTGTCTTATTTAAGTATGAAATCATAGCTCTGATCAGACTATAGAAAAACACATTTTTTTTTTTTTTTTTTTTGCGGAGGAGTACTAGTTCAGAAAGTTCAGAAAGGTAGAATTCAGGGGCACTTGACCACTGAGTCACATCCCCAGCCCTATTTTGTATTTAGAGAAAGGGTCTCACTGAGTTGCTTAGCACCTCGCTTTTGCTGAGGCTGGCTTCGAACACAGGATCCTCCTGCCTCAGCCCCCCTAGCTACTGGAATTATCGGCATGTGCCCAGCTATGTTTTTGTTTTGTTTTGGGTTTTTTTTTGGTATAAAATAACACAAATATTTTTCACCATGTAAGCCAAACTTCCATGTTGGTGACTTTTGAAGAACATGATCACTTGAGAACAATTTCCCTGTCCTATATACACTAGCTCAAGCATAAGTCTTAGATATTTATGAATATTGGAGCAATGAAAGATGAGTGAATAGGATGAGCAGGACAAAGGCCCAGCACCATGTCATAGCACTGATTTCTGGGGAAG